CAACGTCCGTATCTGAAATGAATATTTTGAATACTATATCCTTAACTTGGTCTTCGGGATCGATAATCAATGCACCCCTGCAAGCAGGCGTTGCTGGATTCACTGCGACACTTTTACCTGATGATACTATTTTATATATTGGAGGAGAAGATACTTCAGGGGATACGGTGTCGTGGGACAAGGTATATACAACTTTTTACATCAGTTGAATTCAAATATATACAATAGTATTAACGATTGCATTCTTACGTATATACATTAATAGCTGCCACTATACGATATCAAAAATGACACATGGAATTACATTGTTAGTAATTAAAATTTTTAAGATCCATTTTTGAAATAACCCTGGTCATTGAATCAAAAAATTAAACATTAAAATCATTATCTAGACAACCTCGGGCGATGTTCCTTCTTCACGTAAAGGTCATACTGCTATTCTGGGTAAATTTCTTCTTATTTAATTTTTTTACTCAAAAATATATTATCCTGAATATTTGGATTTATCAATTTTTCTCAATATCAATTTGCATTAAACAGCTCCAGATGATCGCATTATAATTATCGGTGGATCCCCTGTTAGCCAATTTATTGTATTAGATATCAAAACCTATGAGTGGTCATACCCATCAATTGATTCTCTTAATGGAAGACCGGCTCCAAAAATTGCTTATCATACTGCAACATTACTTGGAAAATATATTTTAATTGGATTTGGTAATTCAGAAAATTTTTTATTTATTGCATTTGAATAAATACAATTTCCCGAGTAATTAATAAATTAATTTTATTTGATAAATTTAAGGTTATGCACTAAATACTTATCAAACAGATATTTACCTAATGGATATTAGTGACAGAAATAATTACAGATGGACTAATTTATATGATCCATCAAGTTTCTTAATCTCAACGTCAACATCGTCATCAAATACGATCTCACCATCATCATCAAATCCGACTTCTTCACCATCACCAAATTCGATCCCTCCAACATCATCAGATTCAAATTCAAAACCACCAAATTTTTCCTTAATTATATCACTTGTTATAGTTGGTTTTATAATTTTATTTGTTGTGGCAATTTTAATAACAATTAAAATTCTTAACAACCGTTATGCTTATGTTATTGATCCAACGGATGATAGTATTATAAAGAATGGAACAGATAATCAACATGTATAATAATACTTCTAAGTCTATCATCACAAATTAATTAATAGATTTCTGGGGCAACTCTAGAACATATATGTATAAATGGTATCTCATTATAGAAATAGTTTATTCGTTCATTTATTAATTTATGTATATTTTTATTTTTTAAGCGGTTTACATTATATGGGGGCATATACTGTAACAAAATTAATATTAATAATGTCACAAAGTGTTGAGTCATCAGCATAAATGTCAATTAGCAGCTTCTTTCCTGTGTTTTATTTTCATCAATTTTCAAATTTTTTATTATTCAATATCCTCCGTATAAGATAATTGGAGTAATTAGCCCAAAAGTGTGGATTAGAGTTGTTTCCGAATTTTTCTTTTGTTAGATTATTGCCCATTGTCCTTTTCGTTTGCATACACTTGCTTCTTATATATCCCCGTTTTTCTTTATAAAGGGCACAGGATTCGTTTGCAATTCTGAATATCTTCTCGCATATTTTCCCCAAAAGGAAGGTAAACCCCAATTGCCGCTACCAAGGTTTTCTTATACTCTTTCCAAAGTCTTCAGTCTTTCGATTTCTTCGTTTTCAGTATTCTTTATCTTAACGCCAACATTATAATCCACTGTTGCTGTTTCTCAGAGATTTATCCAATGGCTTTCGATGGTGGTGTCTTGTTCCCTCAATTTATTCATATCTAATTACTGGACTGAGGGAATTTCAATCGCTGGTTTTCTACCTTTCTTTTGCACTTGAAACGGTGGAGACAGTTGATATTGTTATTTGACATGTATTTCTTTTTGTTATTTATAATTTTAATTTTATTAAATTGCATCGCCCAAGTAATGATGAGAGAAGCTGTGATCATTACAAGTCTAACACATTGAGTTTAGGTGTCGGATTTAATAGGAATGTCCTTTCCGTTCTTAACCTAAAATCAATAGGTCCTTTCAAAAAAGAAAAAGAATCCAAACGTAATTTTTAAAATTCACACACTTACCGCTATAAATTTTCATTGCAACCATCTTTTGATTTTTTTTCAACAAAAGATGATAATTTTAGGGGCAGAAAATGAGCAGGGCGTAAATATTTTCCAGTGAAAATATCTATAAAAGAAAAAAATTGATGAAAAGAGATACATAATAAATATATCTAATGTGCGGGGCGGTTATAACAAATAACTTGACTTAGCAATAAAATATAAAAAATTTATCCTTAATAGTTCTAAAGATTTATTAAAGGCATACAAAATTTCAAACAAAATGCCTTGCCTTGGGTAGCGGAACCCATGTTATAATAATGAGCAACTGTCAGTAGAAAGAAAGAGTAATGAAAGAATGCATGGAAAATAAAAAAAGTTAGTTGATATCACAAAAAAATTTACCAATTGTTTCTTTCATGATACCAAGTTGTAAAGTGTGTGTATGCTGAAAGTCAAAGTAATGATGATTGATAAAATAAAAAAATAACAGCTCATCTTTATTAAGAAAATTTTGGGAGAACGAACAAAGATAACAGCAAAAGAATTATTAACATTAGTCAATATTGTAAGCTGTATGCCAATCAAATATGGAATTTTTCCAATTATACTTTCGAATGCTCGAATCATTTTATCAGTAATAGATGTAATTCTTCCAAAAAAATAAAGAATTTTTTTTTATTGCATTTTTCCTAGTACTTTTTCTGCATTTGGATCACCGTATGGACTCTGTCAGAAAATCTATACATTTCCGCATATTCTGTATTGTTAATATTATAGATTAATGTTTAAAATCCGTTATAACACAAGGTTTATTTTGTTTCTGTTTAACTCTTAATTATCTAATCTTACTTTCTTCTCCAACAAATGTTCATATATAATAATGTTAATTATAAGATAATAATTAACGATTCCTATCTATCCAAAAAAAAAAAAAAGTGCAATATATATAAACGTTGCTAAAAAACCATCCAAAAAGTACAATATATAAATTTTTCCTTCTCCACATGGAGAAGTATATGCTCCTGCAGAGAACTTTGCCCTCTGCAGAATTCCCGGGACCATGCATTTTCCGCGAAAATGCTTTACCATCTCTTCGTTTTATAATTGGTGTACTGTTGTCACATGCATATATTATCTAATTATCTAATAAAACATATAAATCTTTATTTGCACTGTAAAAATCAAATCACGAATACTACTTGCCTCAACCCTTGCTATTTTTCGTCCATTTAGTGTGTGTGTGTACAGAAAAAAGATTGTTAAAATCCGTTGTGGCCACAATATGCGCTCCGTTCATCCGCCGTGGCGAAAATTTTTGACCTGGGTCAAAACAGAAATGATCCATCTATACAATTTTCGGGGCTCTCTTGTATCTAATATATTCTTCCTAGACTCGTATGTGCCGAGCTAAGTTCTCCCAGTGCTTAGTGACCCTTGAGACTGATGTTTGGCAGAAGATGACCTTCTTTGACGTAGCTCATCCTATAAGGTAATCCGGTTTATTATTTTGCACTCAAAAAGTAAAGAATTTTAACTCCTGTAAATTTAGGATCACACTTCTAGATGGGATTAAACAAAAAAAATCAATTAACAAATTCTCAAGAATAAAGGTATTACGCCACATTAAAAAAAGGAACAGATATTCTCTCTCAAGAGATATTGCATTTGTGAATTGCAATAAAATAATACATTTTATTTATCTCTATATTTATTTATCTAATATTCTAATAATTTAATAATTTTTTCTACATAATTTATCAGATCATAATCTTCAATGTATATTTTCAATTGATTATTTTCTTGGTTAAAATCTTGAATTAATCCATTAATAAGGTCTTGAGAAAAATCTGGAAATTTCCTTGATAGTTGTTCATAAGTTGAAGAGAAAAATGTTTCACCAGGTGAACAATACCAATCTTTAATAGATTTAACTTGTGAAGAGAAGAGGAATATATATACAGAATTTAAGATATATGATTTAATATTTATAATTTTAATTTGAGAGAAAAAAAATTTTGTTCTTACAGTTTTTCAATTGATCAAATGTATAATAAATAATCGTATCTTCGAGAATTTCATTGATTTCCTCGTCAGATTTATTACTTGTATTTATTATATCATCCCACCTAATCAAATAATAATTATAATAATGATTAATATATAAACATATATTAATTAATTAAATTAATTAAATTAATTAATTGCCTTTCATGTAAATAAATCCTTCTCCAAATAGTTTTCAATGATTCGTTAGAAACTTCAATTGGCAACTTTTTTGTAAATTTTCATATTAATATTAATATTCAAAACAATTAAAATTTTATCACTAATTAATTAATTAAACCCACATTGGAATCTTCCGTCAATACTTGAATAATCATAGAAAGCTCTTCTTTTTCTTTAATATCTCGAAGCGTTGCTAGTTCAATTAACATATCTGTTGGTATTGTTGCACCCCTTAATAAACGCGATGCATAATAAACGAAAAGCTTTTTTTTTGCATGAAATGAAAGTATAAGTGATAATGTTACATTATAGATATTATATATTATTTCTTAATAATAAGTTATTACTTGTGCTAATGCAGGCTTTTCATTAGATATAACTTTAATTGTTGATAATATCATAGAATTTTCACTACTAAAATCACCACTTATCTCAATACTGTTAACGATCGATTGTTTTATATCATCATATGCACCAATAACCATAATATTATTATCAAATTCTTAATTATTATTATTTGTTTTTAAAGAAAAAGAAAATCATTTTTAAAAATTAATAAATTATCGATTATTTTAAAAATTTAAAAAATATAATTAAATATTCATATATCTACGTTTTAGATTTTTCTGTATTTCTTCTGATCCAAGGTCTGTTTCTTGATTTAAGCTCGCTAAATAGGATAATTTTCCCACTGACAGCAGCGTCTACAAAATACCAGCGGGGGAATTTTATAAAATTGTTATTAGTATGTTGAATAAATACTACCACTACCACCACTATTACTACAGTTACCATCATAATTACTATTTTCACCATTCCTAATTACCTTTTTTTCATCACTGTTCTTTTGTCTTTGTGATAATTTTAATAGGTCAGTAGATGCTTCCTTGTATTTCTCTATCTTTATATAGTGTAGCCAGGCAATTTCTTTTAAATTTTTATCTTTTAAAAAATCCTCAAGCCAATCTTTATCCTCAATCAAATATTCTTGTTCAAATAATTCAGCATAATTCTCTACTCATAAATATAAGTAGTGAGAATGAATAAAGGTAAATAATTTTAAAAAGTTTTAAATAATATACCAACCATTTTCAATAAACCATTCATACAATCTATAAGCGTATTTTTTTTTATATTTTATTAAATATTTTTTATTATAATCTTTTATATTTTGACTGAATTCAAAAATCAAGTTTACTAATGCCTTGAAGTCATCATATTCTTCAGCTAATAGAATTGCCTTTTCCGCTTTTCCAATCTTTGCTAATATCAAAATAAATATTTTTAGATGTTTTAATAATAAATAAATATAAGTTATTAATTGATTCATAATAATTACCAATTCTTTTTAAAACGTCTGTCCATTCATTATGATACTGCATAGCTTGACTTTGTATTATAAAATCATCTCTTCATAAAAAAATAATAATTAATTAACATAACATAATATGACATAACATAATATAATAATCACAAAATAAATAAATAATTTAATATTTACATTTTAAGATGTTGAATAGTAGTAGCAAGAAAATAACTGACCAAACCAACTAGCTGTTCTTTAAATTCCTCGTTTGTCATTTCATTTAATTTCTTTTCAACTTTATTGTTGCTGCTATTATATTTGTTCTTATTATCAAAAAGTTTACCTTTGCCTTTGCCAGCTGAAAGTTGAATAGTAGAATGTTTAATAATTGATTCTGTTGATTCAAATTGTTGATAAATGGTCATAGGAAATGATTGATGTGCTAAATTTAAATATAAACAATTGTGTAATTATTTATTCTTATAATGGTTAATATCAATTGTAGTCACTATAATTATTTGAAGATAGCATACAAGTCCATGATTCACTTAAATTCAAATTATAACTATTCAATGAGTACAGACTCATTGAATCTTTTCTAAAATTAAAGGCAGCATCAAATGAGGTCTAAAATAATATGAAAATAAATATAAATGTATTATAGACATGTTAACATTTAAATAAATAAATAAGTATTACATACCAAAAGAATTTTATTTATTTCATAAGTCAAAATTATTTTTTCGTCAGTTATTGAAGTATTTTTTATTATGTCTTGAAAATATGAAAAAATAGAACCAATTTCTTGAATCTATAAATAAATTGATGATAATAATAATTATAATTATAATAATAATAATAATAAGATAATAATAACAACAACAATGATAAGTAATTGAATAAATAATAATAATTTATATACATACACAATATTGATAAAAATATCTTATAATATCTTTATTTGGCTGAATATTATGAACAACATTATAGTTTTCAATTGCTTCTTTTAATTCTTCTAAAACAAATTGATACTTTTCGTTACCTCCATATCTAAAATAAAATAAATAATTTATTAATATATTATTGCTAAAGAATCGAAAATAAAATTTGTTACAAACTACATACGAAAGAATAAGTGAATTATGATACATCCATAATTTACTAGCTGTTGCTATCTTTTCTGAATTACAAAACAAATGGTTTCTTGTTGACAAATGAAGCTATCAATTAAATAGATAAAGAAACAATTAAATATTTTTTAATTTTTTGGGGTCAACAATTAATTAATTAGTTAATTGATAGATTGTTATCGTTACCTTGTTTGATAATCCACTTTTATTAATTAAATCAATTAGCATATTTAATTTATTATATCTTTCATTAAGTTGTGATTTTAAATCAATAATATCATCAAAATATTTTAAACCTAAAATAATAAATATATTAATATATGTATGTAATATAAAATAACTGAACTAATTAATTACCTGATTTTACAATATCATCACTAAGTTCAGATATTGCTATGTCAAGATCACCTTCAAAATCAGCTGGAAGCGCAATGTAAACAGGCAACTATATTTATATATATATATATATATATTATCAACTAGTATTATAAATTATTAATATTATTGAGGTAGTGATTAATAAATGTTACTTACATTTTCATCAATTTTGTTATATATTACTTGCTCTAATTTTTGCTTTAAATTTTGAGTTTTTTGTGACTTTATTATTTTGGAGACATGAATAATTAATACTAATATAAATATATAAATATATAAATATAAATATATAAATATAAATAATAATTACACTTAAATTCTCAATATCAATTTCCTCATCTTTACTACCCAATCTGTAAATAATAATATATAAATAATACACTATCTATATAATTGATATAACGAAATAATAGTCAATGGCTTACTCTAATCCTTGACTTTCTTGTCTTAACTCAGCAATATTTAATTTACATCTCATTATTCCATTTTTAGCTGTCAAAAACAAAATTTGAGATTCATCTTTATCCTCTTTGAAAAACAATGATTTAGAACCTTCTGCACAACATCCCATAATTATATCAGTTTCTTCACTTAGTAGTACCGTAGTGCTATAATTAACATCTAATCAATTATTTATTTATATAATATTTGTTAGTGCATGATATTAATATTATTAAAAAGATATTATTAATTAGATGTTATATTTTAGAAACATATATATATGTATAATCACTTTTTAATAAAGTAGTTATATGTATAGCATGAGGAAAGGCTACAAATACTGCTGGACCACCATTGGGTATTACTAAATATACATTGTAATTATCAACATTTACATTTGACTAATAATATTAAATTTATTATTATTAATATTATATAAAGAAAATATAATTAAAATACTAATTAATATTAATTAAAAAAAAATCATCTTACATTTGGAATTTTGATACTTTGATATCGAATAATATCATAAGTAGTACTTTCTGTATCAGCTTCGATTTTTTTACTTAATATCACCAATGAATATGACCTTAACCTATTAGTACTATCATTGTTGTTATTGATGTCATTGTCATTAATATTTTCAATGTCAATGCTATCTTGTTGAGTAATTCCAGGTGACAAATATGAGACTAATACAATAACTTCCTTGTTACTATCAGATTATTTATTTATTTATTTAGTTAAAAATGAGTGAATGAATATATATATAATATCTACAAATCTATAGTATAATATAATTGTAGAAATACCGTGCATATACAATGTCTATCAGCTTGATATCTAGATCCATATTCTCATGTAAACTTTCATTTCCAAGTAATGCTTTGGAAATAGTTTTGTAGATCTCTTGTCCTAATAAATACTTTTATTTAAATATAAATAAATATTCTGATTTTTTATTATATAATATAATTATATAAAAATTACATATATATACATTGTATGATGACTTATCATGTACTCCCATCATCCAATTTTCAATTCCAATTTCTTTTAATAATATTAATTCACTGCAACAATATATTAAATAAAATTAATTTATAAATATATAGATATATAATTTCTTGAAATTTAATATAAATTTATTACCATCGAAAATCCGTCCCAACAAAATTTGTTAAAGTTGATGAGATAACTTTTCCTTTGATTGTAGTATTGGTGGTAGTGTTAGGTGATGATGAGTCAGAGCTTGACCATAAATAAGATAATGGTCGAAATGTGGTAGTTTTAGGATATAATTGTGTGTATTCAAGAACACTTTTCCCAGTTGAATTAACCAAAAACACTTGATACAACATTCCTTTCTTTGTTCCAAATATCGCTAAATTTCCTTTTCTTGATTGTGTATCAGCCTACAAATTTATTAAAAAAACCCGATTAATTAATGGATTAGAAATAATAAATTAATACATATTATTCATAATAATACCGATAGTAATTAATTACTTGATGACAAGCTAAATAAGTAATATAATCATCATCGCTAAGATATACTTGTAACTCTTTATAGTGAATTCCATCAAACATTGATTTTGATAAATCATTCCAGTACCGGAATTCACCAGTTGGAGTAGAAGCAAGTAAACCTAATTGTTGATAATTTGTTATGAAAGTTACAAATGGTAATTTTCGAGGAAGATTTGAAATTCGTTGTTGACCATGGAGAGATAATGGCATTTCTAATTTATATGATACAGATCGAGCCGTATACTAGATTTAGATGAATAGGTTAATAATATATAAATAAATATTTTCCATCTTCTTGATCTTCTTTTTGAATAATAATAATGATATATATACCCTTTTATATTCTTTTTGATATTTCCAAACCAAACATTGTTTATCAGAAAAAACTGTTGCATATTCAGGCATGAAATTCAAAACGCCTTCACATTTCTCTATTGTTAAATAACAATAATAATAATTAACATTTATAACGTGTGTTGTCTGAACATTAAAAAAAATAATATATTTTTTTTTACCATTTTTCGATAAAAATTCCTTAACATCAACAGGTAAAGAAGCAACAATCTCAGTGATATTTTTATCATAATTCATTAAAGTTTCAGATAATTGAGATGACGATAGTAAAGAGTAATTATTATTATCAGATTCTTGAGATAAATTTGAACAAGAATCTACAGACATTGGGTAGTAAGGCTCTTGTGAATTATTATAAATTGAATCATTATCATTAATATCCATTTCGATATCATTATTTAACGATGATGATAAATCTAAGGGTGCTTTTTTTCTTGGATTTGAAGATGTAAACATGTTGATATTCTCGATATTCTTGATATTTATTAAATATTATAGATTCTTTTTAGCGAAGTTTTTTTTCTCCAAAAAAATTTATCACGTGCCCGTGAATCAAAAATATAAACACTTTGATCACGTGGATAACAATCATTTGCCTTTTTAGGTATCAACAAAGCACAAGCGAAAAAAAGAATTTATTAGTCAAGGTTATTATCAAATTTGGAAATATATCCAGATCCCTCATTCTGAATTGTAATTGAAACGAGTCACAACTTCTTAGTTGCAGAGCCATCTTTACCCCAAAAGTCTGCAACTTTTCAGCTAATATGCTTAACTGGGTAATACCAGTCAGGTAATATGAGGAAAGATCAAGATTTATGGAAGTGTCATTGATGCATACTCCCGAAATTTGGTTGCATCGTTGTATCTTCAGATGTAGCCTTATGTACACAAGGAAGGTGAGAATGACTGTAGTGTTTTTAAATAAAGTAGCATACTTCAACATTTATAAATGTAAACTCCCAATAATCAAATGTTGCATATTTATTTTTTCCTAAATCGTCTAGGTGCCATTTCCCATCTTCAACAGTTGCTGCTTTTCTTTGTCCTTGACACTTTCTTATAATTGTTTAACAAATCATTATTATCTTTATAATTGCCTAGAAGACATGATAAATCTTGCTCCACGTTTTGATTTCAATGAAATATTTATAAAAAAGAAGTACCTCTGATTGTTAATAAATAACACTTCTCCATCTTTAGAACCAACCACAACATTACTGGTATGAATGCCTGGCTCACTTGTCTTGGACTCTTCGTCCCCAAAAATAAAAATAAAAATAATAGGGCTTCTTCGTACAATGCTACTAATTTACAGTATAACCCTTGTTCAATGGATTTTAAAAATCTTTGTTACTATTACACATTATTATTATTATAAAAATCCATTGAAACCTGATTAGTAATTTCGTTTCAACGGATTTTAAATGAAATTTTCTTATATGTCCAGCCACTCCGTTGAAACGAAGGGTTATACTGTAGTATGGTGCATGTCATCTAAAGACGACATCTGTCAAATTCACTTTCCAAAAAAAAGAAATCATTGAAGAGATACCAAAGATGACAAAAATGACAAGTATTATTTATCCAATTAACTATATTTAAAAATGTAACAGTATAAGGAATTTAAAATTTAAAATCGCGTTCCAACAATATTGTCACGTGATTTTACAACATCAATTGGCCAATAAAGAGAATCCGAAATTTTAAAAATTTACATATAAAATGCTTCAACTCTGAACCTCAATAACTTCACAAAATTTTATAATAAAAAAAAAATAAACCGATAGAAATGAATCTTATGTCTTTAACTTCAATTCTACCGGTTTACTTTTTCTCTAAACCTCCTAGTTTGGAAGTTATTGGCTTTCGAAGATCGTCGATTTTAGTATATTGATAAAATTTAAAAAAAAAAAGTCATATCCAAAGAACCGAAATAAACAAAGAATCTAAGAAAAAGAACTAGCAGAATTAGATGAGTAAGTATTATTATTAAAGATGCTTGGAATGAGAGCCATTCTAGTTAAAACCGATCAACAGGTTATATATTTCTAATTTATAAGAAAACTAGACTAAGGCGTCCCTCAGCTAGTAAATATTGGCGTATAATTTATGAAAGGGGATGGTTTCGTTAATTAATGTTAAGATTAAAGAGTGATTTGTTTATTTAATTAATTATTAGGAATTTATTATTATGTCTTCATTATTATTACATTTCTGAATTATTAATCCTATGAACGATCCATGATTAATCTATATATCTGAACTAATGATGGATGATCCATGATTAATATATTTATCTGAACTATTGATGAACAATCTATGATTCATCTATCTCAAGCTAAGTTTACAACGAAGGGTTTATATACCATTCGTGGATACTAATAAAGCAAACAATTTATTACATGATAGTACTATAATTCTTGGGTTACATGGTAAATCTGATATAAATTAATTTCATATTATTATTATTTTTATATGTGAGTAGTTCTATATATCACTTAATATTAAGAGGATAACAAATGGAAGAATTAATAATCACATTACTAAATTTTGATCCCTGAAATTCTTGGTAATACCAATGTTCACTTTGTCTGGTTTTGTTACAGCATGCCCCAAATAAAAATTTTTTGGCCGGAAAAAATAGTACCTTTTGTGCACTGATACTGAAAATATGTTTTCCATCAGTTTAGCATAATATTTTTTGGTGTTCTTGCCTATACATAGGATGGTAATTATTTTGCCAAAAACGTAATACGTAAATACGTAATACATAACGAAATTAATTACGGGTGGCGAAATCAATTACGAATGACGAAATTAAATGACACCTATTATTTATCTCGTTATACTAGTATAATGACATACTTTTTTTAGAATTATAGAATTTATTCTGTTATAACGACATGTCAGTATAACGGGAGAACCAATTAAAATCATTCTAATCATTTCTGAAACATAAGGAAATAAAACTTACGCCGGGATCAAAATGGACCAGTATCATGGAAAATTCTGATAACACTTCTGTATAATGCTGGTCAATTTTGATCCGGCGTAAGTTTTAAATTTCCTGATATAATAAAAATAAAATTACAAAATCACATGATAATGATCTCATATGACTTCTATATGAACTCCCGTTATAATGACATTCTCGTCATACTGACATTTTTTGATATTTCCAATAATTAATTCGTTGTTATTCATAATTAATTTCGTCGCCCGTAATTAGTTTCGTCTCCCGTAATTAATTTCGTCGCCCGTAATACGGTAATTAATTTCGTAATTATGATTTTAAAGAGGAAAATGGTAATTAATTACGATAATTACGTATTATGTACTTACGGTAATTAGGCAATTACCATCCCATGTATAATGTTAACAACGGTTTGCATAGAAAATTTTCACAATAGTAATTAATTCAATTAATTACGTAATTACGTTTTTTAAAGAGTGAAAGTGGTAATTAATTATGTTAATTACGAATTACGTATTTACGGTAATTAGCTAATTACCATATCGTGCATAGTAATGTCTAGTGATGGGTGGTTAATAACTATTAATAACTTAAAATTAGTGTTATTATTAACCAAGTTATTAACTTTGAACAAAAGGATTACCTTCTCTTTAATCAAAGGAATTATACAGCAAATATTGTGCAAGAAGCAACAACAATTTTTTTCAGAAAATAATAGCAATCAATGTTTTGATGAATTTTTAAAACAACAACATTTTTCAAAATCCCTTGCATTTTTGGAAATCAGTAAAAATGCAACACCAAATCGCAATTCATCTTCTCTCTTTACCTGCAGCTTCAGTGATGCGGAGCATTTCTGGTTTATTATGGCATCAATTCATACATCAAAACGTAATTGCCTTACAAATACTCATGCTTCAAAAATTGCAAAAATCAAATGGCATTCATTTACTACAAAATCGTCAAATAATCTAAGTCAAACTCCAATACCTAGCAATTGATGCTAATATAAATCCTGAATTTGAATAAATGAAGTTTCGCAAGATGAAGTGGAAGAAAATAGGATAGAAATTGAAATGAATGCATAGGATTTAATTGCAATGTTTAGAAGAAAACCTTCTTTTAATTTTATATTATTTACATGCTCAAATTGATTTTTCAATAATTAAAATACTAATAAAAACTAACAAATGATTGCTTTTGAGTAATATATTTTTTTAGTTATATATAATAATATTCGTGTGTGTAACCGATTCATTGAATAATGGGTATCACATGTAATTCCACATATGCCTGTTGTATGTGAAATTGAAATATTATGGAGTGGGGCGAAATTCTGATTGGCTAATTTGAATTTCACGTATGTAAATTTGAATTTCACATATGTGAATTGCGAATTCACATAATTTCATTTTCACGTACAACATGCCCATAATAATTTTCTTTTCAACTTTAAAACCTTCTATTCTTTTGCGATTTTTTTTTTCAATAAAAATGCATATGATTCCGTGCCGTTATAATAATAATTATTATTATGTGTTATTATATCGCATATATAATAATATATTTTAATTATACGTTATAGTTTATAAATTATAATTTATTTTCTAAAGAAATTCTCGAGAATCAGATCAAAATAACAAAGGACAAAAGAAAATGTTTAGATTTTGTAATAATAAAATTTCAATTATTAAAGAATTTTCATCATCAATTCCAATTATTTTTATTAAAAATGATACAATATCAAGATCATCTAAATTAAATAGAAAATTTATCACAAACAACACCAACAATAAAGACTTAATTTTCACAAATAATAAAAATCAATTAAAATCTTCTTCCCAATTATTTAACAATAGTAAATTTTTGAATAAAAAATATTTTTTCTTCTTACCATCTGGATATCCTTATGATGAAATCCTCGATGTTCATGAGATTTTAGAAACTTATTCAGGTGAACATAAAATACTAATACTATTTGTTTTTTATTCCATAATTAATATTTTTTCGTCCTTAAATAGATAAAGCTCTGGATGATCCACAACAAAAACATTATCATCTTAATAGTAATAAACCAATCAAGGGAGATTCACCAAATCAAAAATCTCATGATAGTTTAGCTGATCTTAACATTAATCGAAGTCCTGGAAACCTTGAAAGTAGTGATGCTAAAAACAATCCCAGAGGTAGCCCTGGAGGAATAAGTGGTGGTGGTGGTGGTGGTATGAGAATTAGATATGACCGTCGCAATTTTAGAGTTTTTATTGATACCTTATTTACTCCACGTGTAAAAGATGCAGTATTCAGTACTATACTTGGATTGACTGTCATTTTTCTAGGTGGTGTCTTGTATCAATCATGGTATTAAATTGTTTAATATTAATGTTATTAACCTTAATAACACTATTATAATTATTGACTATATATATATATATTGCAGGTATGAGTGGCATGAAGGTCGTAAAGTATTAAAAGCATTCACCGATTCACTACCCTCGCTAAGACCAAAAATGAACTACCTAGAGAAAGATGAGTACAAGAGTTTGTTTCATGCAATATCAGGTGATACAAAAGGAATATATTATTTGTTGGTGGGGGAGAATGGGACAGGAAAATCACAAATTGTGTTTCAGGCAATGGATAAATGCAATCAGTTTGGTATAGTGTTTTGTGAGGCTCATTCAAACCCGGAAATATTTAAAGTACGATTGGGTAGATCATTGAATTATACTTATAGAGAAGATTATATTGGTGGTTTGTTTGCTAGAGAAGCTCCGGAACGAGGTAATTAATTAAATTTTTGGTGAATTCTGAATTTTTTCATAAAAAAATCCATGTCTCAAGCCAAAAAAATTCAGGTTCAGCATTGTTGGATATTGAGAAGGCGCTGAATGTTGTTGAGGAGGCAGCATACAAATATAAAGGCAAGTATGATAAACCACTTGTGCTCATAATCAACAATATTCATTCGCTAAAAGATGATGAAGATGGTGAAGATATGTTGGAATTGTTACAACAAAGAGCTGAATCATGGGCTTCAAGTGGTGTTGTCACTATGATATTTAATACTGATGATCATTGGGTTTATGAAAGGATGAGTAAATAAATAATAATTTTTTTAATCAGTTGTTTAATTGTTAGTTATCAGAAGATAAACAATTCTAATTAGTTAATTAATTATATATCATACATATGTGTGTAGGAACAGATGACTCACATATGGAGGTTATTAAAGTGCATGATTTAAATAAAGATGAGGCAATTGAATTCCTGAAAGATAAAAGAAACGGACGTGAACCTGAAGAAGTATTGGAGAAAATTGTGGATGAATGTGTTGGTGGTAGACTATTATATTTAAATAAATTGGCTAAAGCAGACGATGTAGATTTATTTGGTAATATATCGTTTAGATTATCATTATTAATTATTCTTATTAATTATATATTAATTTTCCCACAAAACAAAAATTACAGAGGCAGCAAATAGATTAAAGGAAGAACAGAAAACTTGGCTGATAAATTTGATTGGTTTAATTCCAAATTTTGATGGATTAGAAATTGAATCACAACGATATGCAGTAGCAGCTTGGAAATTGATTCGAGAACTAGTTCGTTCACCAACCAAAACTATTTCGATAATTGAAGGTAGATCAATAATTGGTAATTCAAGATATTTGAAGAAATTGGATCATGATGGAATAATAATGATTGATCAGGACAATCAGATAAAACCAGACTCACAGATTAGTTATGATATTTTCGAAGAGATGATCGAATCGCCGGATTTCAACAAGATATTGAAAAAAGTTGATCAGAGATTAATGAAAGCTGATAAAATTATTTGGAATAATGGAAATAAATGGTGGAAATTTTGGTGATAAAGAAATAATATTTGTAACAAGATGATTTCGATTTTTTTTTATTTTTTTTTTTTTACAGAGAACAATCAATTATCTTAATAATAACTAGTTTAGAACCTTAAACTACTTTCGAAACCAACCTGAAACTCCAGATATTTTCCGTGAATCAATGAATTTATTTTTTTTACTAATACCAATGAAATAATTTCCGTTGGATCTGATAACAAAGTCTTGGAAATAAATTCTGTTAATTCATTTAATACAACAAATTCCCTTGGAACCAATTCC